TCGGAACTTTCACGCTTAGTAACACATACAGCTGTTCCCTCACCACAGTGCAACAGTGAAAAGGGACTTCTTTCAAACAGTGTCGCGTTCCGAACGTTGTTTAATTAAGCGACATACACCGGTATTGCGGTATTTTAAAAATTCATATCATAACAAAAATAAACACCGGTATTCGGTATGAAACAGTATACCGCCCAGCACTACTGCAGAGTTTAGCTCCAACTTGCCTCAACACACCTGACTGGAAGTTTCTATGCCTAGTAAGAGCTTGATTAGCTGGTTCAGGTGTGTTTAATTACGATTGGAGCTAAACTCTGCAGGACACGGCCCTCCAGGACCGAGTTTGGACAGCCCTGCACTATATGATTTCAATTGATTAAGAGAATTAAAAAGAAGAAAACCGTTTTAAATAAAACACAGCAGAGCTAACGAGACATGCTGTGGAACTGATTTATTCTCCATATGGGGAAATCCTTATTTCCACATGTTGTATCTCCATTGTGCGGCTCCACCAGTAAAGAGGCCGCCCAGGCAAGACCGTCACATTGACGCCAGTCATGGGAAATCCTTAACGCTGAAAGGATACTACGACAAAGATACTGCTTTCATCTTCTGACAGCTGATGGCAAACTGATTTCCTGAAGAAAGACAGCCCCAGGTAATCACACACCCTCAGTTCTGCTGTCATCTCTCTCTCTCTCTCTCTCTCTCTCTCTCTCTCTCTCTCTCTCTCTCTCTCTCTCTCTCTGTGTATAGCTGCCTGAGCCCCACCTCTGCTTCAGACACAGAGAGCAGACGACATGACAGAGGCAGGGCAATCGACTTAAATATTGGTGAAATTAATTTTTAAGGTAAACAAACACCCATATAAACACAATGGGCAATATACCAAAGCGTATCACGGTGATGTCCATATATCATGTGATAATTCAATATAGTAATTATCGCTACAGGCCTACCTGTTCGTACTGGCTGCTTTGTTCTCCAAAGAGCTGTTTTGAGCTGTTCACGCGAATGTTTAAAAATGGTGTCAAATATAAAACACACCTACAGTAACTTGAACTTTAACCTAAAATTAACTGGTTTTGATAACTATATTAGTAATTATTTACTAACTAAACGCTGAGCTAGCACCCCCTCAGCACCTGCTTTCATAATTCTCTGGTGCCGCCCATGACTTTCTGCAAACCTGTCATAAGAGATGAACACTGTCTCAATTTATGATACATATTTTGATTTATGAATACATCACAAACGTAATTTTTTTTTTTTTACAAATGTATGTCTGGATTTCTTTTTTCATGGTTTCCAGACTATCCAATATTCCATATAACACTATTGTATCAATACTCTCAACAGTCTTCAGTCATCTGCCTTAATTCTGTTTGGTCAACCACAATTTAACTGTCAAACAGACCAGTTCAGACGGTGCGTTTTCATTATTCCATTTCCTTTATTTCACTGGCTAATACAGTTCAGATGACTTTTTGAAAAATAAACAAAAAGCTATAAATAAATAAACAAATAGACTGTTCCATTATGAAAAAAAAAAACCTTAACAAAACTTTAAATAATAATGTTGCTGTCTCCAGAAGCATATATTGAATCAACAATAATAAACTTTTGCATATTTATTTAATGCTTGATTTTGAACAGTTTAAAGAAGGGAAATGGAAAGAAAAGATAAACATAACCCTAAAGTCAACCTTTAGTCAAACCGACAGTAACATGTTAGTCAGCCATTTTAAATGTAAATGTATACAAGTAGATGCATAATAACCATGCAAGTGGTTGCAATTCATCTTGCATTTGCACTTCCTGTAAAAGCACAGAAATAAATGCCCTCTTATCCATTTTTTTTTCAATTACTTACAACAACAACAGTATCAAAGATATCACACATAATGTTTGATAATATATTTGTTCTCGGTATGAAACACACTTGATGAAAAATGTAAAGGAAAAATGTGTTTGTGAGCAGCAGGTGAACAAAGTCTGAACTTCTTATAAAAGACAGCAGTGCTCACTTAGGCAGTGTGTGATGCAGAGATCAGAATGATCCAAGAATAAACTGGCATCAAAAACTACAACTGACAAATCTGGTTAAAGCTGAACTTCACAGCTGTTTCTACCTGAACCTTTCTCACTAGCACCCATCACCCCAATAAATCCACCCTCCGGGTTATTGATTGAGATTACTTGTCGTGTGATTCTTCACATAAATATCTTACTAAAGAAAACAGCAGGATCAAAAGATTATCTGGAGAGGTGACCATTTAAAGGAATAGTTCACCCAAAAATGAAAATTAGCTGAACATTTACAGGTCATCCAAGATCTAAATGAGTTTGTTTCTTCATCAGAACAGATTTGGAGAATTTTTTTTGATCAGCTGTTTTGACTCTTATTCTGACGGCACCCATTCACTGCAGAGGATCCATTGGTGAACACGTGATGTAATGCTAAATTTCTCAATCTATTCTGATGAGGAAACAAACTCATCTACATCTTGGACATTTCAGCTAACTTTCATTTTTAGGTGAACTATTCCTATAATGCTGTGTCGCAGATATGAATCTAGTCAGTATATTTATATTTGAGTGACACGTTATTTGAAGAGTACACTGTACAAAGGACAATACAAGATCAAAATCTTTGTAAAAAAGGGAAATGTGTAGAAAATGCATGATGTACAGTACAAATATTATATTCTTGTTCAAAATATGGAAAAAAGTCACACACACTTCAATGTGCAAAATTATACTGAAAAAAAAATAAATTATGCCTCGTGCACAATAAAATGAAAAACACTTTATAACATGCCCTAGAGTCAAAAAAGCACCCAATGCTAAAATAATACAGAGTGCATAAGATCTGATTCATCCTGTTTTTTGAGCATTGCAAATTGAGCAATATGTGAGTGGGTACAGAATGACGATAAGTATTTCTCTTCTTTTTGTTAGCTATTACAATCTGTAATTTGCTGCAAATATTAATCATTCTGTACCTACTAGCATAAAACAATGCATGTTTGTAAATGTACAGATGTCAACACACTTAAAAATAAAGGTTGCAATTAGAGGGGCTTTGCAGCCGTCAGTCCGATACCAATTCTTAAAAATATAATTTATGTACTGATGATTTGTGATTTAAAGATCCTAAAAATCTATCAAGAGCTTGCAAAATCTCTAGAATATCATATAGTCGAGAAATACGCTTAAATGGTAAAATTGTGCCCCGATAAGCTACTGAAGAACCTATTTTTAGGAGTGTATGATTACAAAATGCTTTTTTTAAATGTTATTATTTATTTTTTTTACACATACAATTTAAAGCTTGCAAAATCTCTAGAATATCATATAGTCGAGAAATACGCTTAAATGGTAAAATTGTGCCCCGATAAGCTACTGAAGAACCTCTATTTTTAGGAGTGTATGATTACAAAATGCTTTTTTTAAATGTTATTATTAATTTTTTTTACACATACAATTTAATGTCTTCAAGACAAATAAAAGTGGATTCTCAGTAATGTATAATCCAATAATCAATGTTTCAAGTAAACACAATTTAACATTGATTTTATCTCTCAATAATTGACTTATCCTCTAATATTCATTCAGATGACAATGAAAACAATATACTAATGAAAAAATAGGTGTGTTTCAGGCTTGAATGAATTGATTGCAAACTAATTTAATTGAGTAATAATTAACTTGTTATCTGGATAGACATTTACAGTGGGTTTATATACAACCAATCTTTGCCTGAAACAGTCAAAATACAACATAAGGAATGCTTGCATTAGGTTTAAAAAAAAAAAAACAGCTGCTGGTACATATGAAACCACATTATGAATGAATCCAGATCCCAAATTTTGTAAGGAGATTAAAGATTATTTTCCCTCACAAAAGCTGTTATGGTTAATGTGGTGTTGTCATCCCATAGCGGTACTGTTTATTCTGTGATTCTGGTAATAAGTTGCATATTGGACAACCAAAAATAGTTTTCATGTCAAAAAAGAAGTTTACTCTAATCAGACGTATAGGCATAAAAACTTAATATAAACAAATAGTTTATCTGAAGGTCAAACATGTGCGAAACCAATGATAAATAAATTAAACGCCCAATGTGTCACTGCTGGTTTAAATTTGTTGCTTTAGCTGCCCCAATATATTCTGAAAAGTACAACCATTCTGTAAGAGTAGATTTACCCAAACAAACTGCAAACAGTTATTTGCATTTCAAAGAGTTGGCAAAATATACAGATGGAGTCAGCATTGACATCTATGTTTACAGGAGTGAAATGTTGCATGCATGTTGCAACACCATCAAATGCTCTGTTGCAAACAGCTATTACATTTTTTGAAAACTGTTTTTGCAAAGTAACATGTAGAAGGATTGTGGTAATAGTTGGTACATAGCAGGCATTTCAAATTAGTTAAGAGTGATAGTTTACTTTGTCACTCATGTTTACCTTTTTTTTTTTTTTTTTTTAGCTGTATAACTGATTCTATTTTCATTTTTAAAGGTATAACATTATGCTATGTACAAGCACAACAACATTGTTGTATGCAAAGCAGGATGGATATGTACATCCATTTATGCTAAATATTAATATTAAACGCAAGAATAAAGGTGTACTTTGAGTGAAGTGTGAGGTTGCATTCTACCTGCAACTCTCGACAGAAGGCAGTGATATTTTGAATCAGGAATCATCAAAGATTTTATCTTTCTTTGGTTTGTCTGGAAACACAAGAACACTCAGACCACATCTGCATGTTCAACGAGCTGCGCTGGATCCTCTGATCACAAACATTATTTAACATCGTCATCAACAAGGAACGAAATGTGCTAAAATGTTTCTTTCACATAGTGAATAATATAGAAGAGAAAGAAAAAGGTCTAAAAACGACAGGCTACTTTTGCATTATCGTCTTTTCTGTAGTCCAGTCAGTGTCAGTCTGCTCACATCTGCCGCCCTCTGGAGCCCTTCAGTACTACAGGACGGTTATACAGGAAACAAAATCCTTCCAACAGCCACCAAAGAGCAGGCCATACTTAAAGATCTCCCAAAATCTCTTCAAGTTTTTGTGTTGCTTATGAAGGAAATCGAACCAGAACCTTATGGATTTCACTACAGGGTTACTTCTTGGCTAGCTGGAACGGATTCTGACCCTTTTAATAAAAGAAACATACATATTTGTAGTAGACTTCTGCAAAGATGACACGGAGAGGGCCTCAGAAAACATGCATGTATATAAAATAACTCGATCTTGAAACCCACTAATGCAATTTTCACACTTTTTGTCAAATGCAAATCACAATAACAAGCACAACTTCAGCATGTAAACATCCAGAGGGTGTTAATTTTTCTTAGTCTCTGTGTAAATGTCATGTCATTACTGTAAAAAACAAAGTTAAAAAATCAGAATCTTCTAAGGATATCAAATTAAAGAGAGAACATATGAATAAATAAGATGTGTTAGGAAATGTTTTGGCTTTTTACAGCCATTTATTATCTTATATTCCTCATGTTGACAGCATAGCTTCTTTGACATTGTTGATATGTCTCAAAACTACTTTGGCAGAGTAAAAGCATTAAGGCACATGTTAGTATGAGGTATTACAGACAGATAAAGAGTTTATAGACACTGATTATTACAAACCATGCTTAACTTGATATTAAGTGGCAAAATGGAACCCGAATAGCTTGTCAATGTAAGCAGCAGCAATCCTACACAATCCACTTCAACACTGAATGAACACAAAACAAATACAACAAAACCATTTTAGCTGTGGGCCTTATAATAAACATATTATGATGTATATGGCATGTTTGTAATACTAACTTAGTTGGTTTTATTCTTCATTTTTACTTGAGGTAAAATGGGACATATACACTACCATTCAAACATTTGGATTCAGTACAATTTTTGAAACAAGTTTCTTATGTTCACCAAGGCTGCATTTATTAAATCAAAATACAGTAAACTTAGTAATATTGTGAAATATTTTTACAATTTAAAATAACTATATATTTTAACATTTAAAACATGTATTTCTGTGATTTCAAAGCTGAATTTTCAGCATCATTACTCCGATCTTCAGTGTCACACAGCTGCTTAATATTTTTGTGGAAAGTGATGCATTTTTTTCACGATTCTTGATGAATAGAAAGTTTAAAAGAACAACATTTAAAATTGAATATTTTTTCAACAATGTAAAATTGTTTAGTGACACTTTTGATCAATGTAATGCATTTTGCTGAATAAAAGTACTATAATCTTTCAAAAATAAAAATGAAATACTGACCCCAAACTTTTGAATGGTTGTTGATGCTTATTAACAAACACAAAGATGTGCTTGACAGTGAGCAGCAATATATATGAGATAAATTAAGACTAAATTCATTGCCCAAGTATGTAAATTACATTAATCTACTATACTATTAAATTGCCAGAAATAAGAATAGAGATGAGAGAAAAAATATAGCTGCTCAAAGGGCCTGATTTAGACATATTTACATGAAAGCCCATCAAGGCAAAGCAGTGTGTGTGGATTTCAGTCATTCTTTTCTTTTCATAGAGCCATTCACTAATTCAGTTTTTGCAATAATATATTTGACAAAAAATGGCAGGTGAATATGGAGAAAACTATGGTGGCCGAGAAGTGCAAAACAAATCACAATTCTGAAAACAAAATAACAAATTACAAACGCAAATGCAAGTCTAAAAAACAAAATAACAATTCAGAAAACACAACGACAAATCAGACAGACCGGAAGAGGTAGGTATAGTTTGAGACAGCTCCATTGGTTTGGGATCTGTCAATCAACGTATACAGGAAGAACCAGCCGAAGAACAGCAGAGTCGTGGTAGAAAGTTCGGAGATGGTATTAAAGTAGCTCAGTTTAAATGTATTGTATGAATTTCCCTTACTATGGAATAAAAAATATGGAGGGTCTATTTACACTTAGTGCAAATAGCCCGCCTTGTTGGCAGTAATTCCGCTCTCCAACGTGTGATTGGGCTAGTCAACACTTTAAAAGCAGCTGTACATAATCAGCTCCACTGGCGCAGATTGGTAAGCGCGTATCGTCGGCTTTTTGACGCGATCGACCCAGGTTCGATCCCACCTTTTGCCAAACTTTTTTTTTCTCCTTTTTCAAATCTCGTATCACATCGTAAAGGCATTTATTTTCAATAAAAATTAAGGAAATAATCAAAAAGTTGAAAATAAAGTATCGGGTAGGGTTAGGGTAGGTGTAGGGAGGGCTTTATTGTACCAATAAGGTGGCATCCATTTAATAATTAAAATTAAAATTATAATTTACACTCAATACGTTATTATTGCATACTGTTTTATAATGTACTACAATACTGAAGTGCAGATAATTGCCACTATTTGCAACAAGAAGTATACTTGATAGTAGAAATCCTGCTATTTTAACA